GTTGTAAACGGTTCTCACATAGATTTCATCTGGAGGAGGCTTCTTCTTGCTGCCAGGTTCAAGGAATTTCTTAATTGTGGGAATATTACTCATTTTCACTGTGTACTCCTGAAAAAAGGTAAACATAAAAGGTATTAGTTATTATGAAAACATGGTTGTTCAAAATGGCCCATTGATATCTGTCCAATGAATATTTGTTGTAAGGATCCACTGCGCTGGCTCGAAAATTACTGCTTGGCTATCGCCCATGGGAAGATAGGCTATCACCCATGGGAACATAACATTCTAACAATATGCTTTCTGCCTCTGTACCCCCGCTTGCACAACCGACCTGTGGGTTGACAGGTAGTGAATAGGAGAAAAATAGACCTTTGCGTTCAAGACAGAATGAGGAATGAGATTTAGGGCTTAAAAACCCTGTACCTCTACATTTCGGGGCTGCTTAATTTGGGGTCTGCGTACCCCTGGCAGACCCAGCTGGCTGAATAAAGAGCATGTTTCCTGTAACTCACTGATTTCTGGTGGTCCGTGTGTCTTTCGGGGGCTGGAGGCTACAACAGGATCCTTTATTCTACCCTATTACCAGAGTCTGGTGGCTCTTGAAAATGGGGGGGAAGAGAGGGAATTGAGACTAAAGGGTAGGCATCTGGACCAAAAGGAGATTGTGACAAACTGGGGTAATGCCACCTAAGGCAGGATGGGGGAATTGTACCACTTAGGGTCATGGAAACATGAACAGATTCTCATGAAAACATTGGAGACAGCTTGGCCTCTAGTATTTATTTTCTCTAATTCTTTAATTCAGTGCAGAAGCCAACCTTCCTCCTGGGTTGTTTCTTCCAACAGCCAGCTTTGAGGGCCCCCTGGTATCAAAGAGAATTAAAATCCAAAGAGCAATGTTTGCAAAATGGCTTAAGGTCTACAGTATAGCAGGCCCTCAATTAATATTATCAGGCAATGGCACTGGATAGTAAAAGCACATCAAAATGGTAGTATAAAATAGCCCAAATTTGCTGCCATCCTAGAAAACTCAATAATACAGATCCTTGGGTGTTATCAAGTCCATGTCTGGTTTCCATGTATAAATTTATTTTCAAATGAGTATAAAATGTTTCTCCTCCCTGAAGATTTTAGAAGAAGCAGGCCAAAAGACCACCTTCACTCTGACACCAACTGCAAGTTCAAGGGGGTGCCCACAAAACACCACCAGTCTCGATAATCCGCTAGAAGTACTTACAAAACTCACTGAAAGCTGTTATACTCACGACTATGGTTTATTACAGGGAGAGGATACAGATGAAAATCCACCAAGGAAAGAGATGCATAGGGCAGAGTCCGGGAGTGTTCCAAACACAGATCTTCCAGATGTCCTCTTTCTGTGGATTCATGGACAGCATTAACTCCTCCTGGCAACCATGTGTGACAATGGAGTATTGTCAACTGGAAGCCTTGAAACCAGAGTTTTTACTGGGGCTGTATCACGTGGGCATGATTAACTGCCCATGTGGCTGATCCAACTCCAGCCCCTTCAGAGGTGAGCTGACCCGAATGACCCAAATGTCTCCAAGCTCCCACCCTACATTGCATTGTTGGTGTGGCTCGAAGCTCTCATTCTAAATCACATTGTTACTATCTAGCAGGCTCAAGGCCTGTAGGCAAACAAAGACATTCCTATCAGGCATGACATTCCAAAGGCTTAGAGATCTCCTTCTGTAGAAGCAAAGTTCAGACTGTTTTTGGAGTGGACTTTGGGAAGCATTAGTCTTTTTATTACACACTCTCTCATTTTCTTCTTTTTGTGGACTCTTGCTCCCAGGATCCTGGCTGGAGCCTCTCCCTTCGAAGCAGCAGCTCAGGCCATCATTGTTCCTCAGGCCTGTCACCAAGCTCTTGCTCTTCCAGCAATTCTAAACGTTAGTTAGAGTGGTGACAGAGTACTCACATTGTGAAAGTGTGAAGACAAATAACTACCAGGATGTCTGCACTTGCTTTTCCTCTAATAAAACACTGAGACGCTTGCAATGATTGTCACAGGCATTAACGATCATCTCCTGTTTATTTTTTTTGCAAACAAACAAACAAACAAAAAACCCTTCCTGCAGTAAGGGATGAGTGTGTTCTATGAGACTCATCAAAAACTTACCTTTCCTCAGTTTTTAAATTTCTAAGTATAAGATACTTCAAAAGCAGAAATTCTTCCTTTTCCAAAATTACTTCTGCTGTTTACACATCTATTTCCCCTACTGTATAGTCAATTTTTCTAGAGCAGGGCCCTGTACTAAGTTTCTGCCTCCTGGCACCTGCTTGGCACATACATAATAGGTGCTCAATTAATAACAGAGATGTAAATCAACACGTGTTTAAAACAATACGAATAAACCATCCTTTCAGTTCTGAAATGCAAAAAAATTAGAAACCTACAAATAACCATTTGGATACTAAGAGGATACAAGTAATACATAGTTATAATTTCTCATACTGTGTCAAATATAGCTGAAAGGATATACAAATGATAACTATGTTTGTCTGTGAGGAGCAGAACTGGGTAGAGGGGGGAGCGGCGGGGCAGGGCTGAAAAAAACACTTCCAACTGTATATCCTTTTACACTTTTTGAACCATGTGACTGTATTATATATTCCAAACTATTTAATTAAAAAATTCTAGCAACAGGGCAATGATTTTTAAATTCTTTATTTTGGCTAATATTGACTGCATTCATTTCTACCATGGATTTATAATAGCTCAGAGGAGAGTTATTCACTAGATATTATATTGTTATTAGACACTAAAGAGACCAGAAGAGGTTTAGAATGGGAAAAGGAGGGGAGATAAGCAGCTCAGAGGAGAACATGAAGCCCTGCCCATCCCCGTTATAAGGAAATGAGTTCGGATCAGATCTAACATCAAGGCCAGGCTCTCTAAAAAGGTTTTTAGAAAAAAAGTCACATAACAATTATTTACTGGACAAAAAAAGGTCAATGTTTCTAGATGAGATCTCTTTGACATGAAAGACCCAACTTAGGAACAACTATACATAGCACCATGACAGAGCTGGGATCACGGCAGCCTCGCATCAATTAAGATACTACTGTGTACTCGGCAATCTATAGGGGCTGTTATGGCGCGAATGATTCTAAGACCCACGGAGCCAATTGAGATTAATTATGAGCCTTTATTAGCCAGCCGGCAACTGACTCTCGACCACGCAGGGTTAGAGGAGATCAGCCCTGGGGTTTGAGAGTGAGGCAGTTATAAAGCCTAGAACAAGCAAGCAGATTACAGAAGCAGAAGTTGGCCATTAGCACAATACATCACCTAGTACCACACCCTGGTTAACAAGTAAGTGGATTATAGAAGCAGACATTGGCCATCTTCATATCTTATACAATACACATCCTAAACCACACCCAGGCAAGTAGGACAACTTCTGGTATCTAAAGATATTTCTTCCCTGTAGCTGACTTAGCTAGTTG